GCCACGATACAGCCATCTTGGGATCCTGGCTGGAAGTTGAGCTTTCTTCAGCATCCGTGGCCTCAGTCGCCAGGCTGTCACATAGAGCATTGCTTTGGTTGAGCCCGCCTATTCAGGTATATTTCACACACTCACTCTCTTTTATTGAGGGGTGTGGATGTAGTCTGAAGGGTTTCTCAGCTTATGTCCCTAAGGATCACCCCTTGTCAGAAGTCCTTGAAGTGGTGAAATATATGAACCGGGCAAGTGGCAGCTTCTGGAGGACGCTCTATGCCAATGGGTTCTTCCTATCTCCCGATGTGGCAACAACAGCCATCAGTGCAGGTTGGGCCATGGTGGACGCTTAGGCTATAGATCAGAAGGCTTTGTTTGGGATTCCTCACACCCGAAACCAAACATCCTTGACAGTACGCAAGGAAGCATACGCTTGCCTGAGTTCACTGACGGCTAGTCTACGACTACGGTTGTTCAAGTGCAGGCCGAAGCTGCACATGATGGGCCATATACTGTTCCGTGACTGAAATGTATGTAGATTCATGAATGTACACGTGATTAATGCACTCATGAACTCTAGCTTTTCTCACCATGGACCATGGCCCAACCTGCCTAAGGCTTGACCTCTCGCACCAACTCACTACCGCGAATCGTGCTTTGAATCCAACCGTTTGGATGTGTTGGGGCGATGAGGATTTTATTGGTAAAATCAGTAGATCCTCACGCCATCAGCACAGCCTTACCACCCCTCAGAGAACAATCGAGGTCTCACTTCTGAGTTACCACCGATACTGGAAGGAGTGCTTCCGCTGAGGTCCCTTGCGAGAAAAGCTTGGCCCAGCGCATCGATGCCAGTCGTAGGTGTGTGCATAAGTGTGAGCAGGCGGTCAGGAGATGAATGACTTGAGAGGTGGTATGAGCACTTTTTAGTGGTTAGATACACTTTTTGGAGGTTGGTAGCGTTTTTAGTTTTGAGCGTTTTTTTTTTGTATCGAAGGGATGTACAGGCTAATTATGTTCTATAGCTTTACATTGGTCTTGAGGGTTTTTTCAGGTACATACCATACAAACATCGGATGTTCCAACCACTCTACGTATCATACACGGTCGCTCCCGTAGTGGACCGACCCAAACGCTGTTCAATCGACCTACCCAGCCTCTCCGGTCCTGACACCGGTCCTCTCATGACCATCCAACATCAATTTCTTTTGTGATCTGATGCGAACAATTTGTTGAATGGCTGTGGTGGATTGGCGGGTTCTGCGATAGATATAAAGTCCAGAAATGGCAGATTTACATTTAGAGTACATGCCCATGGACTTAGGGTGTCCGGCAATATCTTTCAATAATGCAACTATATGCAAAGTGTAACCCCTCAACGACGGCTTGCGGCCGATATTGGTCCCTTCGAAGGAGGCCTCACTCAAACAGCAAATAGCGGACGGATAGAGAGTCAGGTTCCACTAAAGAGCCAAGAGCTGGGGCCACAAAACCTACAGTAGTATTTAGACATATTTAGACACTCTTGAAACACTTTATGCTACCTGGAGTTTCAATGGGTAGAAGTAGAAGTACCTGTGTTTATAAGGTCATGTTTCATTTTTGTAAGGTACTTTGGAAGGAGCAAGTAGTGCGTACTAGTACATTAATGTACATTAGCAACCTCCTAAGTCGATCACCACTGCCTCCGCACACCTCCCAATCGCCTCCGAACACCTCTGGGTTGGATTGAGTCCAGGAAACCTGGGTAAAAACCTATGAACATCTATCAACTACTAGGGAATCCAAATGTGCATTTTTTGTTGTTCAAACGGTTCAAACACGTTCGCAAAAAAACATCCGTGCATCCGGCCTTTTTTGTCAAATGGACAAATTCTTCCGAATATTGGGTTTGATTGGGTTTTATCAATATAATATTGTTTGGGTTTTGTCAATAACATGTTGATAAAGTTTGGGTTTCATATGGGTACGCTTTGGTACGGTATTGTTTTTTGTCCATACGGCTGAATACGCTAATTTGTTAATTAAAATGTCCATACGATACATTCTGTCCAAAGACGGCCTTCGCACAGAAAAAAAAGTGTTCATACGCCTTTCCAGGTATTCCCCAAGCCAGGGGGTTCATCCACAAAAAAAAAAAACGGAAAAAACACCGCAACACATCACATCACATCACCCAGGCACCCATCCTTAGTTCCGCCTGTTCCACCAGGCACCTGATTCACCCAGGCACACGTTTTCCCCTTTCCTAAACCCGGTTTTCCCTTTCAAACCGCCCAAGAGACCGCTTCGCCCCCGGCGTCCGAGTGGTGGCAATCGTCCCGGAACCACTTCCTACCGTCCAGTGAAGCGCGCGCTGACCGCTGACCGCTTCGTCGAGGCTGGTGGACGGACTCGGGGGACAGAGTGAGTTGTGCATGTCAGGTGGATCAGGAGTGAGTTTGAAAGGGACATACCCTACAAGTCAGGGACGGACCTCATGAATACTGGAGTTTGGTCATACAAAAGAGACATCAGGAGGTGGAAGACTAGGTTTTACTGGGTCAGACTGCAGGGATAGACCGACTATATATCAGTGTGTGTGTGTGTGCGTGCGTGCGTCAAAACCCCGGAGACTCCATTTGTTAGGAGAGGTTTTGTCCCTTCCCAGATGAAGCCCAGTTGAAAGAAGTGACCGCACAAGTCATATTAGAGAGGTCAGTTATGAGCTGTGAAGCAACACTGTGCATATAGCCGGCAAACATCAGCAAACCTTTAAACATCTATATTACTCAACACGTCTCGTTTTCTAGCAATATATAATTCCTTTCCTTCTCCGATTTCATCCGATGTCCAATTTAGGCAACCCCAAACTCATCTTGGGTTCATGCAGCCCCATCTGTCTTCCTTTTGCGTGTCGCCCTCTGGTCTCTGCATCAAAGAAGCTGCATCAATTCCTGGATGCCACTGCTGTCACCACCAGCCCTGGCATCTCCCCAGGTGATCCACGATCCATCAGCCAAACGTGCTGCTGCAGAGCAGGCCGTGCAATGGATCTCCTGCACACCCTTCAGCTGATCTCGAACCTTGCTGCTGTCACCACCAAAGCGCGGATCGCCCCAAGTGACGACCGACTCATCTGCCAAGATCGCAAGGAAGGCAGTCTTCGTGGACTGAATCTGCACCACGTTTTGAAGCTGATCATGGACACGACGGCTACTTCCACCATAAGCTGAATCGCCCCAAGCCACCACAGTCCCTCCAGCCAAAATGGCTGCAAAAGCACCATCAGACCCTTGGACTTCTCGGACATTCTTCAACTGATCTTTCACCTTCCTGCTGTCGCCACCGCACTTCAGATCCCCCCACGTCACCACACTGCCATCGGCCAAAATGGCTGCGAATGCCCCACCCGACGCCCGGAGTTGTTGCACATGTTTCAGCTCTTCTTGGACTGAACTGCTGTCGCCACCAAATCTTGGATTGCCCCAGGTGACCACAAATCCCTCTGCCACGATGGCAGCAAAAGCAGCCCCTGCCATTGTTGATGAAGCTTCAATCTGCTGAACACCCTTCAGCTGATGATGGACCGCACTGCTGTCGCCACCATAAGCAGGATCACCCCAAGTAACAACAGATCCATCAGCCAAAATGGCAACGAAAGCACCTGCTGAAGCCTTTACCTCCTGAACATCTTTCAGCTGATCATGGACAGCGCTGCTGTCTCCACCAGCAGATGGCTCGCCCCAGGTCACAACGGATCCATCAATCAAAGTTGCGGCAAATGCACCGTTGGATGCCTGAATCTGTTGAACATGCTTGAGCTGATGATGGACACTGCTGCTGTCACCTCCCCGAGCCTGATCGCCCCAAGTCACAAGAGATCCATCAGCCAAGAGGGCAGCGAAAGCGGCGGCAGAACCCTTAATCGCTTGCACACGCTTCAACTGATCTTGAACCGCTCTGCTGTCACCTCCAAAGAAGGGATCACCCCATGTCATGGCGCCGCCGCCACCACGCCACATTGCGAAGGCCCGGTTGGTCGAAGCCATGTGAGGCACTTGGATGATGGCCGTCAAGCAATCACCATTTCGGAGTCCAGCGTCTTGAAGACTGTCGGTGACATTCCACAGTGGTCGCTGGTCCTCGGAACTGAAGATGGATGTTGAGTGTTTGGTACGGATTTAAGCTCCGGACTAGGTGTAAAATTGATGTTGACAATAATGGTACAAGTGACAACAAACGCTGGAGTTGCAAACAAAACCAGGTCTTGAAGGGGCTCTGCTTCTTCCTCCAAGCGTCAGCTGTTACCAATTCGAAGAAGAGCTTTCCGAGGAGATCCAATCTGGCAGCAGATTTCAGTTCCAAAACGCTAGAGCCTGGGGACATCGACACAGCCGTCATGGCACCACTGGGCAAAAATACGTTGATGATCCATACCTGGTCGAACGTGGGTGGTGGCGGTGGCGGGGCCTGCAGCGCCGAGGAGCCACCATCGTCTCCGGCATTCTCAGCCACCTCACATTTCATCGTCTCGGGGCTGGTCATGGCCATTCAGCTCCCGACTCAGATTTTTGGTCATGGGCTGGTCATTCAGCCGCTGAAAAATGATGATTGTCTCCCGTCTTCCGTCTTCCGTCGGACTGAGATGTTTTGCATGTCTCTGTATGTTCCCCAACAGCCCACAAGTTAGATACAATAAAACGCCTAAACTTCCAAAACATCATTGCTCATAAACTTACTGTTCACTTGGCCTTGCCTAGTTTCTGTCCTCTTTTTTGCACGGTTTTCGTTTGGGCTGTCAACCGGTCGCAGGGGGGAAGCAGCGACATCCCACGATCCCTTCGCAGCCTGGGAGTCAAAGAAAAACTCGCAACATCCCTTGGTGGTCTCCGATAGACTACCCTATCCTGGATCTCCATTCAACACCACAGGAAGCTCTTAGTAGTCTTCAGGGTGTTCTTCTTCGGGGAGAACATGGAAAGCATGGTCTTTCGACTTGACGTAGCAGTTTTTTCATAAGATCATCAGGATTCCACCAAGGCATCGCTCCTCCGGCCCTCCTCCTGCCCGGACGATGTCGAGGCACGTCGCTACCTACGTAACATGCCCGGACTGGATCCACTGCCACCTTCTCAGAAGGTAATTGGACCCTCCTGACCTGCCCCTACACCTCCAGTCGTACCTCCTCAGAAGGTATGACTGGACCCTCCTGGCACCCACCCCAGTCCCACCTCCTCAGAAAGTACGACTGGAGGCCGACCAGGGGCTCCAATTACTGAGCTTCGGTCTGTGGATCCGGGATGGATCGACCGACCATGGGCTTCGAAACCGACCCGCACCGAGGAGTCTTCCAGGGCTCCGTCGAACTGATGGATTCCCCCCCCCATCTGAGGATCGAAATGATGCACCTGAGTGTGAAGAGGCGAATTGTTTAATTTAAAAATCGATTCTCAGATGCAATCACATACCAGGACCCTCTAAGGGGTGCCCAATGGAAGCCTATAGGTAGTGTGGGGTAGTTGATTGGACACCCCTTGGAGGGTCCAGGTATGATCATTCATGGTATCCAGAATCCCAATGATCGACATGATCTGCTTTTACATGCTGGAAACACCCATGAAGACGGGTCCGGCGTCGGGAACCCGCGGACGGCGAGCTTCACCCGAGACGAGACACTCGAAGACTTCGTCGACTCTTCTTTCAGACTGGTTGGTGAATACCAACAGAGGTGGGTCAGGACCCTAATTATAGCCTATCCCAGGGACGGGTACCCCATGGCCAGTAAAGTAAGGTCCTATTGACGGTCACTTAACCTACCTCTCTGATCCTCTCTTGGTAGGTACTTCGTCCATCTGCGTCCCATGAAGACCCGGACCAAGACCCTCCCTGCGTCGTAAAACGGTGGCGACCGGACCTGCCGGTGGTGACCGGACCTGCCGGTGGTGACCAGACCTGCCGGTGGTCGGGTGCTGGTATACAATCATATACCCTACAAATCCAGTCGTACCTCCTCAAAAGGTACGACTGGACCCTCCTGGCACCCACCCCAGTCCCACCTTCTCAGTGGGTACTTGGATCCTTAGGGATAGATTAATCTAAACAAACAACTATCCAGGACCCCTAAAGCGTGGTTCATGGACACCCCCTTGACCTCTAAGGGGCTATATAATGGACACCTAAAGGGTGGTGCCTATGTGGACAAACGCACTCACATGGTGCCTCGACCACCCCAAAGGCAGTGCACCACCAACTCCGACTCACCCACCATTCCAACGGTCAAGGGGGTTGCATTGGAAAAAGCCGCCAGCTTTGAACGACCCAAGCAGTTTCCAGGGGTCGGACGTCGGACTTGCTAGTTCGGATCCCAACGGAGGACGTAGGGTGAGGTGACGCATCACATCCTCGGGTGCCCGGTGCCACATCACATCGGCTGGAACCTCCTGGAACCTTCACACCGAAGGTCTTCGCCCGGTCGACCGGGACCCCTCCGCTCCGCTCCCCAAAGCGCAGGCCCAGTGACTGGCGATCGTCGAGACTCAAGGACCGGAAGGCAGGGACTAAATCGATCTGGCAAAGACCATAACCTGACCGTCCAAGGCCGGTCCAGGGGATCCCAAAATCTGGATCCTAAGAATCATCGGACCCTACAATGGAGGGTTTGGACCCTGCATAGCAGGGGTTTGGACCTTCAAAACCTTCACCTTTGAGAGTCCTCGATTTTTAGGGTAGATTGGTTTAGGGTTTAGGGTTCATGATCATTCAATGAACAATAGAGGTCCAGTCTGGCAGTGTAGAGTAGAGTCTACTGGACACCGGATGACCCAGTGAGGGGGCGATCTTAAACGACCTGGTCGGTGGGAATACCAATCCCTAGGGCTCCTGGCCTACCTCCGTTTCGATCATGGTTGGGGTGGGTGCCAGGGCTCAATGGTGCTTCCAGTATTCCTCCTGTCTTTTTGTGTCTTTTTCCTCTGGTCATTTCATGGCTTTGCCCAAGCAACTTCGGCAAAGGTGTCGATGCAAGCGGGGTGCCACCTCGTGGTACCATCCAATGGCCTCGGCACGGTCGGAACAAGAACACGTTGGATCATTCCCTATCCAAGACACTCCGTAGGACTGCCATTTATGCCTAGATTGACCGCCCGAACCACCGCAACTGATCGGCACATGTGGTAGTCCCATGGGTCGTGTCTGGGTATGGATCCACATAGACTCTGAGATTGTGATGCTATTTTAAATTTATGTAGGCGCCAAAACGTCTGGTCCAGTCGTAACGAACCTCAGAAGGTGGTAGTGGATCCCTAGGTCCCTAGGGATTCATGGCCAATGCTCAATACCTGAGGTATCTGGTTGAGGGTCCACACGGTCAACAAATATGTTCGATGGAACATGATGGCAAGGCCACTAGGACTTGAGGTTGCTCGGGCGATCCTATGGATGCTCATGGATGCTCTCTCCAGCCACGCAATGCCGCGGAAGACACTTGCCCGAACATCAGTCCGCGTATATATATATATATATGGAACATGATGGAACATGCCATAAAAGGACTATAGTTATATACTTATATTCTAAATATCGATCCGCTTGTAAGAAAGGACCTAAAGAACACACATTAACTTACATAGCCCGGCGGGTCACATCGATGTTGCAGCCCACCTCGTCCACTGAGGAGTCCTTCCAGGCTTCCTTGGGTGAAGCAACCAACCACGGGGTGGTGGGTGTTCTGAGACCAGAGGAGTCAGGTCCTATTACCAGGGCCATGTTGGATGATGATGATGATGATTCAGTTCAGGTGAAAAAAAAAACAGACAATTTGTTTGCTCAACAGTCAGACCACAAGAATGAACCCACCAAAAAGGTCGGTCGACACGTCGGGCAGCCAAACACCAAGTATCCGAACCAGTCTTCAGCACGCGCGCGGCGGCATCGTCGCGAAGGAACCTCGGTGACCAACGGACAACGGGCGGCAGAGAGCATAAAAAGAGATGGTGCAACAAAATATGAGTGGACCGGTCCAAAGAATTCATACAACATTCTTCATATTGATCATTAGTTGCAGCCCACGGGGACCAGTGAAATTGTTTGCGCATAGAAGAGCATGGGGCAGGGCTTTTTTCATTTCGCATGGCTTCCGACCATGACGAACGGCAGACCAAGGATGTACGTACGAGTACTTGCCAAAACAACAGGAGGGTAACCAACCAACCAATAGTATCCAATAGTCAAAGGCCATCTATGCGCCAGACTATACCCGGGCATCTGGGCGCCAAAGTGAGATGTTCTCGCAAACAGCATTGCCCAAGCCATGAGCTTAAACCTAGTGCTAAACCAGAACATGAAGAATCCGTGTCAGAAAGGGAGTATGGATGTCAAATGAGTTCAACATGTTTAACTTTGTTTAACTTATATATATATATATAAGGTACCTCTACAGAATGCAACTTGCTGCTAGCTCGCCACACCAAGTTCTTCCCAACAGAGCCGTTGTCAATCGACGTGGTGCATGCGACAAAACGTTTCACGGTCCCTCACTTCATATACGATCATATACGAAGGACAACCAGCCAGCCAAACAATTGGCGATCAAATATCCGATTTGTGGTCTGGATTTCGACACTCATAGGCGCCTCATTGAACACTGTTCAGTTCAAAAGTGTTGCATGCCAAGCTGAGCACAGCGTCGACGTCCAGAGTCGTTCCGAAGTTGGTGCTCGCCAAGGGGCATCTCTAGAAAGATAATAGCCTCAGAGGAGAACTCAAGTTTCCAAGGGGCATCTCTAGAAAGAGAATAGCCTCAGAGGAGAACTCGAGTTTCCACTGGTGTGGTGGCAGAACTCTTCCACTCGTGCTACTGCTACTTGGGTTCCAAAAGAACTCTTTTGCCAAACAGTGGATCGAGCTGGCGGTATCGCACCCACTGCGACCTGCGACTCCTAGACACTATAGGATCAAAGGATACCACTTGTGTCACTCGCATGTTTCCAGACCACCTCCACCCTGCATAGACACACCACACCTAAGACTACCTATGGTGGAGGACACCACCTTGCAGCTTTCCACCCCACACCTCGCACCTCATTTCACATCTCACCTCACCACGCAAGTCCTCCCCGCCATCCCATGAACACAGCCGCGTGGCCGTCTGCGGACACGCCCGCCGCACCGTCCGGACGAGGCCCTCGGCCGCCGCCAGCACCGGGCGCGCGTGCTGGGGGCGTCCGTGCTTCGTGGTGCTTTCGAGCAGGTCGTCGCCGTCATTGACCGCGACCTGACCCGCGGGGGCAGGAGATAGGTCCATAAGCTGCAGGGTTCAACAAAGGGTTTAAAAGGGTAAGGGGGTTCCGATCTTGAAATTTATTGAAGCTGGCTACATCAATGTATGCCTCAGCTCTTGATCAATTCACTGGATGAGTGTCATAACCAACCACCACCCCAACTTGTATTTGGAAGACAAAAAAGGGGCTCCCATTCTGCTATTCACTAAATGTGATGAGTACTTGGACATGCTAGCTCCATAATGCGCAATCTAGTTCATCAGTGGCTGTTGGGCTGCCCAAGGCCTAAGGGGTGTAGCCCTACGGTAGCCCCAGTTCTTGACCTGGATTTGTGGGAGCAGCCCAAGATATGCAAGGATCCCTTTGACCATGCAGCAAGTCCAAGGGGACTGGTGTCAGCACACCGGAGAAGCATGGTCTCGGGGTACCCTTGCCTTTAAGACAGGTGCCTATACCCTAGGCAGAGATGGTTCCGGTTCCTCAATCAAGCAGATGGCTGCGATGCAACACGTGAAAACCCCACAAAATCCCAAAGAGTCCAAACGGTCGAACCATGCAGATCTGCACAGATCCGCACACGTGAGTGAGTTGACTCCCGCGTTCTGATGCTCCACGCAACGAGATCCCACGGGCGCATCTGCGCGCGCCACGCGCCTCGATGATCAGCAGATCGGGTTGCTTCGTCGTGACCAGGTCATTGACCACCAACGCCAGGGCGCGGCTTCCGGCGGTGCCGACGGCGGCCGCGAGGTCGTCCACCACCTGGGATGCGTGGTGACCAACTGACCCTGTGGCGGATGGCAGGGGAGGAAGGGTTGGGGTTCCGTCCTGTCTGTAGTTAGAAGCTTGATCAAATCTTTTGGAACTGATCATTCCAAGAGGCAAAGGCAAGAATATGTGCAAGTCGACTGTTTTCATCTCCAATGGTTTTCTCTTGGCAATTTTTGGTCAGCACAAGTTTGGGGACTCGGTTGATAGACAGAGCACCAGTCCTTCAACGGAGCTCCGACAAGAGGAGTGAGAACCATCCACCCATCCCCAGGTGCCAGACTGCCGGACCTCCCGACATCTGCCCCACCAACACACCCCCCTTCCCTCCCACAGGTGGCCTTCCTCCTTGCCGCCCAAGAGCCACCCCTCTTCGCTCCAGTGCCCGAAGCAAGTTGGGCCGGTAGCCACGACTTTGCCTGGGGCCGCGGGGGCCGCCGGCCGGCGTTTTTGTTCGACGGGCCAACAAAAAGGCCGTTCGACCAAGACCGCTTGGAAGGCAGAAGTGGATGAGACTTCTTGAATCTTCAATGACTGTCTCATGAGGGTAGTTGGGCCAATCCACTTCCAGACTCATTGGCAGCTGGAAGGCAGCCAGTCTCCCACCAAACAGAAATGACCATTAAATAGGGTTGTTCTGTCTGTAGCATCGATGTCATCCGAACTGCGAGAGGTCTGGGCTCGGAGAGCCACATCCATTCTGTGCTTGGGTGCCGTCCTAGGAACGAGAAGGCTACTAGGGGCTCCCGGTTCATTCATAAAACTAGCCCAAAGGCAGAAATTCTGCATAGTTGGAAGATCCAGGTATGTATTCATGCGGCAAATCCAGGATGATTTCCTGGATCTTCAGAAACATCTTTCGATACTACATCGCACCGGGAAGCCCTTATGATCTGCAAGGGCCATCATACCTGCGACATCCACCTGTGTCAAAAGATCGCCGCCTCTTGGAACAACAATCTTTATTGTTGTTTCCCAGGAGAATCGCCGTTTGTAAAAATTATTGACGTCTAGGGGTCTCCTTGGTTGGCTGAGCGTCCGGGCAGCCATTTGATTGCTTGATAAGTATTGCTTCAACGCCTGCTAGACAATTATGGATCACCCACGTTCCACCCTACCTGCATTTGGTTGGTTGAGTTTGGAAGCCAGCAGATTGGTGTACTCAGTGTACTCGTTGACATCACCCTGAAACCCAACCCTAGAACCATCTCAAAACATCCACCTTGCACTCCGCCCGGCACAATGCAATGCACTTTTCCGATGAGCAGATCAGTTGGAGCCCAAGTGCCGATCGCACAGCCTTGCGGCTTTGAAGAGGTAGAACTCGAGCACACGATAGCTTTGCACCCTGCTGTCAGTTTTTACTGCAAGGCCACAAATTCTGCCGATTATGTCTTCATTTTGCTGGCAGTCGAACAATGCAGGATTTAGCACATACATTGAGTTTTGGTTCAGCTGGGTTTTTACCTCTTGGAGGACATGGCGCCAAAAGTGGCTTTTGGGTTTTATTCCAAATAAGCATAGGCTTCGTTGGAAAGTCCAGTTCGCAAGCCACCCGTAGCCTGAAAGGAGCGACATCCCTTTCTCATAAAGCACTGCACCACAGTTCCAGTCCATAAACATGGTGTGCTGATACATGTGATTAAAAACTTCCAGCCCCACCCTCGACATGCTCAAGATTACGGAATGAACTTCTCGTCGTTCCGGACAAGTTTCTGTGTTGAGATAGGCAACAGTCATTGCAGCAATGAACTTGAGCAGTACTGTAGCATCGCTTCCTTTGCAGTTTGCCCATGGGAAGCTCCGTTTGTTTTTGTACGCAAAGAAACTCTTGGTGAAAGATCTCAATGAGGCCTTCATTTTTTGTGTCGTCAGGAACATCTTGAATTGCGAGAACACATTGTTGAGCTTGATGTCTATTTTCCCCCGATTTCCGTAGTAGTCAAAGTGTATCCACAAAAAGATGACTGAGCCAATGATGTCTCGAAATAGTCCGAGGCGAAGGGTGTGGAAGCAGTCATGCTTGTACATTGCCTCAGGCCGGCTGGAATCGAAAGGGATGTCGTGCAGGTAAGGAAGTGCATTTGCATTCCATGGTCTTTGACAGTAGAGGGAAGAGAGCCACACTGGTTCATGCCCAACATCTTCGGCTGGCAAGCCTGCCTGCCCTGCAAGACAGCAGTGGCAGCACTCTTTGTCAACCACCCTGCCTTTGTTCTCATATCCCCGTGTAAGTCTGGCAGCAAATGAATGAAATTTCAAGTCAGCTTTCAATCCAACAACGGCACAATGCCACTGATGGCCATGTGCCACAAAACCATGGTGAAATAGCGACTCAAACTGTGTGGCCAAGTGCTGCATGAATTGCTCTTTAATCCCCCTGTAGTTCTCCGCAAAGGTTCCAGGAATCACTATAATGGGCCAGTGTTGTAAATAGCTGTGTCCTTTCATGTTTGTGAAGAGAGACTTGATCATGGGGTTTGCCACTCTTGGGCATTTGTGGACAGGCTCTTTCAAAAATGTTGGGCAACACGTAGAGCACGGCTGAAACTTCTTTACAAAGCCAAGCACACTCTCGAACGATAGAAGGGTTGTGTTGGATCTTCTTTTTCCCTTCCCCTCATCCCCGTGAAGGGCTACAGGAATCACTCGGGCCAGGTCTGTGTGGTGAGCATAAACAGCGTGGGTTGGATGATAGCAGGAATATCCTTCCCAGAAAGCCTTGAAGCTTTCCATGCCTTTTTCCCAAGTTTCCTCTCCACAGACGAGACGCGGGTGATGTTCAACCAAGAACTGCAGGATCTTTTGCGGAGGCAGGTAGTGGATCTCTGTCTTCGAACCATCTTCGAGTTCAACAGTGAACACATCAATCTCAACCTTCCACGCTATCCCCAGCCTCCGCATGAACCTGTAAGCAGTTCTAGCAACATTTCCTCTCCAAACCGGCTTGGAGGCTTGTCCAAACTCTTGAAGGGCACCTTGTCGCATGTCTTCACATGTTGTGGCTGGGACCTCAGCAAAGTGCGGCTTGCGGGCGCACAACGGATCGAACTTTGGGGAAATGTATCATCATTGATGAGTGGCAATGGCACTCTGGGAATGCCACTCCATCAGCAATGGCTTCACCATACGCTTCCGCTAGAGGCCTTCTCTTCTGAGGTCCATTTTCACCTGGCATGATGGGAAGTCGTTCAACATGTACTACTGTATTACACCTTCTTTTTTTTGAGCGATGATCTCCTCTTGTTGAGCATGTGCTTACAGGCTGAAAAGCTGGCATTTTCACTGCAAGTCATTGCGGTGCATAGCCTGATGTGTAGTTCACACATAGGCCAGCCACATGTGACCTTACCCCTCAATTACTAGATCTAATTTGTTTGAACACTGCTTTAATCAAAGCAGGATGCTTGGAAACAGGCGAAGGCACAACCCTCAAGCAACACAATTGTTATAGTTCCGTAGGTCGTGCACGTTATGCAACACAAGATGTTATTCTTGTACAAAGGCCTTCACATCCCTGGTAGCTCTGGTGGCCTATTTGCCAAAAACATACTATCGACTACTTGTCCTTTGCAGCAGAGGCTTTGGCCTTTGCCTTTGCTGCTGCGGCCCTAGCGCTTTGCCGTTTGTTGGCTTTCTGCTTGATGGACCCTTGCTTGGGCAGAATTGGCCTGACAAAAGATGGGTCGAAGTTCATACAATTAGAGAAATCAGCCATCAAAAGAAGAGTCTTAAATAAGAGGGGAGGCCTCATCCGAGTCTCCAAGTTGAGGCCATCGACTGCCCTTGGAAATGCAATAGCAATCACCAGTTCATTGGTTTGTTGCGCACACGGTTTGGAACAAGATAAGGTCCAAGCATTGTTTTGGCTCGCTTGTACAGAGTGAGCATTGTCTCCTCGGACCTTATTTTGCATCAACATTCCACAAGGATAGAAGGCGTGGGCACTCAAAAAAAGCTTGGTCTCCGACTCTTCAGTGAACCCGTTAATCACACCTTTGGTGTAGGCCACATCCAACTCTCCGGATAGCTGCGTGAGGCTTTCAATGAACTGCGTCACCTTGTCGAACATCCTTGGCGAACAAAAAGTCTGCGAGGAGATTCGAACGGTATCGGAAAAGGCATGTCAACAATTAAGGGAGGCACTGTTCTTGCAAGTGGGACAATTTTGTACAGGCTTTGAACTTGTCCGCCCCAAGTTGCAATCTTGCAGATCTCTTACTGAGACAGGTCCTTGGATACATACGCATTAAGAAGTCATGAAAAATTGCATTGTGTGACATGTATTCCAGGTGAGGGTCATAATTTTTTGGCTGATTGATGATGGTAGAGCATCTAGTTCCAATTCCGGTATTCCTGCTTGCTTCCTGATTTTTGCCGCTCGTGACTCGGCAAGCTCAGCCTTGACTTGCTCAGGATCGTCAAATTCCCCCTGAGACGACTCCTCATCAGAATCACCTGAAAGTTGGGTTGAGGGCGTTGGTGAGACTTAAGCTCTTACACAGCAGAAAGAGAATTGATCGACTAATACTAAAGCATACGTACTAAAGCTGAAACTCAAGCTTTGGTAAACCAGTGGCCTTCATCGGTTTTCAGTTTGGAAGGAGCCTTTGGGTTCTTCTGTCCATCTGTGTTCTTCTGTAACTGCTTTAACTGAGCACCCTCAACAAGGTGTTCCTGCCCCCTCTGTTTTGGAGGACCAGCAAAGTGAGACGGTTTCTCGAAACCGTCAAAGTCAACTTTCTCATCCCAGGAGATCTTTCTCTTCAGTGAAGTCGTGCTGGATCGCCTCAGACGTCAACCCAGCAGCGGAACCCAGCCCGAGAGGAAGATAGTACGAAACAATGAAAAACAGTTGTCAGAGAAATTGAAACATTATCAGACAAAGAACTTGGAGCTTCCCTCAATAGCAGTCTCTGCCCAATACAGCAACGTACGTTCATACCTGTCACGCCTGCCAATGGATTTTTGCAGGGTTAACAACACGCATGGAAGCATCAAAGCATTGCATTGGTGGGTGTTGAGTGTTGGTTTATTTACTTACAGTATCAAGTGTTGGATACCAAAAGCATACTGCTGTCCAGTACTGTCCTCATCAATTGCTTTGGGTCTTTCAACGCTTCAGCCTTCACCGCCGCCACTCGTTTCCTCGGGCTGGCAGTGTCTAGTGCTTGTTTAAAGCAATTGGCACGCAATTCAACACCCATGTTTAATCTTAGATTCTCTGGCCATCCCCACTCATTCAACATTGTATCCTCGCTTACGTATTGACCTTTCACAATCAGCTCTTTGCTTTGGAGCTCTTCCTTGATCAGTTCAACTTCCTCAACAAAGGTCTCCTTCAGGAAACAAGTTTGCGTGGGACTTGGTGGATTGTGGTAACACGGGTACAGGGCAGAGGGGAACGACAACATGTATT